GCGCATTTGAAACCCATATCGAGGGTACCCAAGCAGTCCTTCTCGAGCTCCCGGATTCGAGAAATCATCCCACCTTGAGTTGATAAGGCTTTCACCTCATTAGTCCCATCCTCGACGGGTGCCGCTGCAGTCTTCGACTTGGTGACCCTCGCCTTGAGGCGTTGGCTCTCCTCGAACACCTTGGTCATCTTCTCCCACATCTCATCCATATCGCGGTAAATCTCGACCTGAATCTCGTACTTCAACTGGTTGTCGAGGAAGTCATTCTCCATCTTGGTCTTCTTCACCTCAAGAATCACCTTCACAACCTGCACCTTCCTCAGCTCGACAAGGGGGAAAGTCTCATTGTTCAGAGCCAGGGCAGTCTCCAAGACCCTCATAACAGCAGCTACGTCCTTGGACAACGCTTTTCTCCTGGTCTCTTTGTCGAGAACCATGATTGCCTGGAGTCCTGTTCAGGCACGACCAGAGAATTGTCTCTGCCAAAGAGCCCTCTATGAAGATAACAGGGGGTAGCTCAAACTTCTCATCGACAATGCCCTCTGTGAGGTCGACGTCCCCAGACTCTTCACCATGCTTCCTCTTGGGTGGATTCTCCTAAGAGGCCGGAGATTGACTGCCCTGAGGCGAGGAAGAAGAACCCCCGAAGTGCTGATCAATCTTTGACAACTGTTGGACTTGGGCGACACAACCCTTGGTAGCCTTCTTGGCACCCCCTATTCTCTGCAATCTTGAGCATGCGCTCCTGAAGGCTCGATATTTGGCCTACAACAAAGAAAAGAGCGAGTTAATATAACAAGGAAAAATAGGCGTAAAAACAAGTGGAGAATGCACTCGCTACCTAAAAGCCTTAAGGCCTCCTCGGTGAAATGACACTCAAGGAACGCTTTGGTAATGATCAATCGAGCCTCAAAAGAAACCTCCTCGTCCTCGTTGCGGATGAAGCTCCCATATTTGTTCATGCACTTGGCAGGAGTGAAGTTGTTGATGAATGCCACGATCTTCTCATAAGCAAGCTGATCCTCAGCATCCAACTCGTTGGGCTTCGTGATGTAGTGGTCCATCCCTTTGTCCAAGTGGGCCCTCTGTAACTCGAGGGGAAACTTCGCTTCTATCTCCTCCACCTCCTGCCCATCCATAAGCTTGACCACACGTTCGAATAAGGAATCGACAGTGGCATGCGATACAAGATGCACGAGAAAGTACCTATCTTTAAAGGTGCAGACGAAGTCTAGCTATGTTCTAAACAACTTCCTCAGCTGTTTCAAGGACACCCAATTGTGCTACCCATGTAAAGACTGCCGCTGAAGATGGAAGAGGTGGAAGAATAGTGGAAGTATGGCGCCAATGCAAAGGTATTGGCACACGAGCTCGAATTCACGTGCGAACGCGATCGCGTTCGGATGAAGCTGCGAGGGTGCTAACTTCAGTCATTGGAATATCCTCGTCTGAAAGTTGCTGAAAGGCAGGCGAAGCTCTGCCTCCTGAAGGCGAACTCGTATATAGGGAATCACATCCCCTCGAATGTTGAGCAGATCTGGTCCATCTCCTTGGGCTTATAGAACTCCCAATTCACAGGGCCCATTCCTCTAGGTCCTCGACGATCGTGAAGGCATCTGAGTCATCGAAAATAAAACGTGAAGCAATGGCTTGGGGTTTCTGCCCGACCCAATCCGATTGGGGTTCAGTATTTATGTCGGCCAAATTAACTTCAGCATCTACGTCGACCATAGCGATTTCCTCAGGCTTTTAAGCCATTTAACCTGAAAAGCAGAGGAAAATAGTGAATTCGACGTTAAGATCAAATCCACCCTTCCACTGCAAATCAAGTGAAAAGGCGAGGAAAAGCTCGAGGACACGTCCTCGACCAAAGCCCTTGTCGACAAACACGTAGTCATGAGGAACTTCTCCTCGACACAAGATACGAAACCCCCTCTCCACGAGGGAAAGATTCCTCGACACGTAGGTTCCTTATCAGAACCAAGTGGAGGAAACCTCCTCGACAAGAGACTTTTTCAAAGTTTCTATACTCCCGCAAGGAGAAAGTTTTCTCGACGTCAAGCCCATCAAAGACGCGAAAGCCTCATCAGTTCACCGGGATCTTCATCGGAAACTTCATGAGTTCCCTAGAATCTTCATGAATTCCCCGAAAATTCATCGGAAACTTCATGAGTTCCCCAGAATCTTTGTCAAAAACTTCATGAGTTTCCCAAAAACTTCATTGAAACATCATGAAGTTCGTCGAAAGTTCAAGAACACGCCGGAAAATTCAGAAATCGCCGGAAGACGCATGACTTCATCGTGAAGTTCATGAGCGTCCAGGAACATGCATTCCTAAAGCTAAGTTCTATAGCTAACCACTGCCATACTAGTTGGAAAAGACAGAGGAAACTTACGTGTATGAAAGAGATTCTGGAAATTTATGGTGGCGGGAGAAAGACTGACAACGACAACGACAACGACGAGCAAGCGTTGGAGAAAGCATAAAAACTTGAGGAATTCTTGAAGAGCTTGAGTATTATGAGCGTAACAAATGAATTCCCTATCCTTATACTTATATTCGCTGGCACGCAAGACGAATCGTCGCCTATACCCTAAAGTATCCCTAATCGTAGGCCGTCAGACGAATTAATTATTTGTAACACGTGGCTCAAAAGACGTAACACTTGTCTTTTCAAGCCCCAACACACGGCTTGAGGAAATGACATGTCCATTCCTTCCACTTCTCTCACTTATCCCAGAGTTCGTCGTTCCAAGCATTGCCCGCAATGCTCGACTCCAACGTTGTATCACGGGCACATCCTCGGGAAAAGGTTTGAAACAAGTCACATGGTCGAGCATAGATAACGAATTCAGCCCCTCGCAAGGACATGGCCTCGAGATAAATGCAAAACTTAACCTTGTCGTCGAGCATACGCAAACCTCACGGGCAACATCTTGGTGAAAATCTTCATATGTTCGCTCTGTCGGGCACGATTATTAACTTCCACATTCCCCGCGAGCATAGCTTCACGAGCTCACCACCTCGAACTCGAGCGACACTCCCCGAACAGATTCCCTTTGTCCTTCTTCGACATAAGAATTGACTCTAAGTCATTACTCCTCTGCTTCGAAGCAATGACTTAGGGGGCTTCTGTTCTGGACTGGGTCTGGGACTGGCCCACCGTCGGGTACAACCCAACCCAGTTATGTGTCTGGGAGGGCCCAACATAGAGGCCCAATCTACCATCACCGCAGGAAGTAACGTTCCCCACGCGTTCTCCACACGCTCCTTACGCGGGAACACGTCACCAGCTGAACCCACATCTTTAAGAATAGGTCATCCACTTCCCGGAGTTCGTGGGCAATTGACCCAGAATAAAGACCACGTGCTGGTCTTCCCTACCTCCGCGTAGGATCTTGACAGTCATCTATTGTGGGCCTTACAATCCAACCCACAACAGATGACCATTGGCCCAACGCTGGAGGCACATTATAAATACCCTCCTCCACAGGAGGGTCAAGTATTCTAAACTCTCTCTATACTTGCTCTTTTTTTTTCACTCTGAACCTCACTTTGACATCAAAGTGTCTTGCAAGTACACCCCTTCCTCTTCTCCATCACAGAAGAATTCAAAGCTCACGGCGTGTTGCTGGCCGCTAATTGTCTTTCTGATCCTGGTAAGATCTTATTGCAATAACCAATTTTGTTTTACTATAAAAAGTCATTATTCACGCACTATACACAAACACTCTTCACGGGGTACTCCTCGCTCATGTGTACTATTCATCCGACACTGTTCATATGTTTACGTACTATTCATGCACGGTTCACAACATTATTCATTGTATTTGTGAACAATGCATACGATGTAGTATAGAAAATAATTTGTAAAATCTTTTATAATTTCTCATTTTCATACAATTATCAATACTTTCCTTAATATGTATGAAGTCTAAAACAACTTATAATAAAAAATAGAGGAAATATTATTTTAAGAATATTAAATGTGTAATAAAACTCATAAATACAAATATAACTTAATAATTTTGAACAGTTGGCCGTTTTAAAAAGTCGATTCCCCCAAACCCACCCGTTGTTAAATTAGTTTATCTTCATAAAATTCAAAACAATTTTAATTAGGTTCGATTGGGGTCAGATTTTACTGCATACCTAATGCCAACCGATATACCCGCCCTAGTAAAAATAAAAAAATAGAAAATAAAATACAAAGTACTTATTCCAACGAGATATTTTGATCATGTAACATAGACATTAAATTCAATGCTGCATGTTTAATGCTATTTATGAATTACATATTCATTACCCGTACTTTATAAAAAATAACATTTTAACTTTAAAATATAATAAGTAATTTAATATATATGTTAGATAAATTCGTGTATAAAATAATTTAATCAATTAAAGGATACCGAAGTGTTGATCATATTTTTTTTATTTTATTATATTTAAAGAATAATATTCTCAAATATATTTTTTATTTTGACTCAAAGATTTAGAGAAAACATTTTTTTATTTTATTTTGCTTTATTCAAAGAACGAGAATTTAATTTTTATGTATTTCTATTAATACATTCAATCAAATTATTTAATAATATAATTTTTAATAAATTTAATAACATATTTATTAATATTAATATTTTTTAACATAAATTGAATTTACAATTGCAGAAACTAATCTCTAAAATTAAAAGAATCATAATGGTAGATAAAAATTTCTCTAAAAATTAACATTATTATTTAGATAAATATGTAAAAGTAATTTACATTGTCAATATTACTATTTGTTTTATTTTTTTTTAATATTTTAACATTTAAATTAATATAAAAAATAAATATTTCTAGAAGTTGAATAGGTTGGTGACAAAACATTTTCAAACTTCAACAACTGTCTATTACCAACACCAACCACATTTTTGTTTTTCCTTTTATTTTCTCACCAACTACCCACCCTTTCTTCTTTATTTCAAACACTCTCAATTTCACTCATCAATCAACAATGGCTGCCAAGACCTTCACTTTGTCTGAAGTCTCCAAGCATAACACTCCCAAAGACTGTTGGGTTGTTATCCACAACAAGGTAATGCTGTTTTTCTGATGTTTTTTTTTTGTTGAAATTCATGTTGCATTTTAATGTTTTGATGTAAACTATGTTAGTTAGAGGATTGAAATTGTTAGATCTATGTTAGGGTTTGGATTTGTTTTGATTGAAACATTAGATTCTGGTTTTTTGATGCTGTGTGTGTTATATGAGTGTTGTGGAATTTAAAGAAGTTGTAACTGTTATGTGATATAGTCTGTTTAGTATAGGTTATGGTTGAAAGCGGTTATTGCGGTTCTATAGCTGTGTAGATTAGTGGAATTTTCACGTAGTGTTATTTTCCGTGATCTGCGATTGGTAATTGTGTTTTGAAGGATAATGATTTGATTCAAGAGGATTGATTGTAGCTGAAAGGAAACTAAACTAGGATTTAGGGTTTAAGATTTAGGGTTTAGGATTTAGGGTTTCTGATTGATTGTTTTGATCATTTGGAGGTTTTTCTTTTCTTTTCAAAGTGTTGTGTTTGAGCTGCTGATTTCAATTTGTAGGCATATTAAATTTAATTTGGATTAGCGTTTTTCATTGGAATTCATGATTGTTTTTTTGGTGATTGAAATTGAATCACAAGGCATGTTGAGTGTGATTATGGAAAAGTAAATTTTGAAAGTTTAATGTAATGTGGCTACTATGTTAAATGTTGGATTCACGAAACTAAGACACTGGTAATAGTTTGAAATTGTAAAGGTCGTTGAATGTAATGTAACCACATGTGTCGGTATTAGGCGCTAAAGTTTGTGAGATATTGGACTCACCTTCAATCTGAAATGTCAGGTATCCATAATTTGTTTTTCTGCTTATTTCCATAAGCTCTCTAGGATAGCTTATGAACACAACCTATAGATTACATGAAAATAGTTTGACTTTGTTTTATCTTTTATTATAGAAATGACTTATAAATAAGTTTTTATTCGATAGGCGCTTATGAAATAAGCGGTTAAATAAGTTGTTTATCCAAACAGGGTTTCAGTGAATGAAATTCAAACTCGAATGTTTTGACTGCACTGCTAAGTTTTTCAGCTTTTAGGGTGATTTGAACTTGACCTGGGTTCGAACCCAAGACTTCATTCGCAGTTGTGTGCTTGAGTTTCTAATCGTTATTGCTACTTTGTCTATAGACCAAAACTAGAAAACATTATGCCGCGTAGTTGCTTCTAATCCTTTACCTTTTACCTTATCATATCGTTTACGGAACAGGTTTATGATGTGACGAAGTTCTTGGAGGACCACCCTGGTGGCGACGATGTCCTAGTGTCTTCCACAGGTATATCCTACATTGTCTCTAAAATGATCTTAACTGTTCAATTCAAATCTCGTAATCTTGGTCAAAACGACCCGTGTTTGTGTTTGCAGGGAAAGATGCATCCAATGATTTCGACGATGTCGGTCACAGCATAACCGCAACATCATTGCTGGACGACTTTTACGTCGGAGACATTGATTCATCAACCATCCCTTCCAAGGTTGACTACACTCCTCCAAAACAACCTCACTATAATCAGGACAAGACGTCTGATTTCATCTTCAAGATCCTCCAATTTCTAGTTCCGTTGTTTATCTTGGCTGTTGCAGTTGGTATTCGGTTCTACAACAAATCAACATAATCATTTAAAAACAGCAAGAGAACATAAATTTTTTTGCAATAAAATCTTATTTGCTTTTTCGATGTAATTTTTCTGTCAAAACTTCGTATTGTCTTTTGCCGTCGTTCATTTGCTACTGGAATTGGAACAGTTTTATGGAGTTTCACAGTATAAAGTTTTGGTCTGGTGGAGTTTAATTCCTGGATTCATTTTCTTTCGGTTCGGTCTATGTTCTCAATTTTTCTTGTTTTATTTTCCATTTTAAATATGTTTATGGTGTTGCTGTAATTGATTGTTACTGCTTAATCACGCGCGATTGATTTATGTAGCATATTCAAACGGGTCAGATATATTAATATTGAATAATTAATGTATCTGAACTATATTCGAAAGAGATACATTATTTAAAAAGTAAATGTTTTTATAATAAAAGTGGACGGAAAATTTCACATAAGTTTATGTAATTGTTTATGCAACTAAAAAGAGAATGTAGTAAAATTCTCTATAAGCTAAAAAAAAAACCTGGATATCTTAAGGAGTATGTGAAAGAAAAAGATAAAAAACAACTTTTTATTATGTGACATGTAAATTTTATAAATTATTTAAAGCACTATGTAAGTGCTTATGTCTAAAATAACTCTAAATAAGCTCTTCCAAATGATTCCAATGATTTGGTTGAAACCAATAATTAGATTTAAAAACTTGGAACAGTATAATAATGTGTGAGTTTGCATGCGTGTAATCTTTGTTACCACTTAACACGCGTAGAGAATTCTCTCAAGTTCACATCATTTCTTCCACCCAAAATTCATAATGAGTTGAGAAACATAGATACCAGTTTTTATTTTCCAACTATAATAGTTGTTAAAAGTATCCCTAAAATGTGGCACCTTTACTTGAATTTGGTATATGCACCCTCAACCATCAACCCAACCCAACCCAACCAACCACCAACCAACTAGTAGATGAGTTTAAGAGAAGAGACTAGTCTCTCTGTCGTTTTAACTAAGGTGAAAAAATGGATCTGATCGATTAAACATTTCCGTTTTGCCAACACTTTTTTACCGGATAAATCAAGGTTTTAGTTTCGAATCCTCTATAGAATGACAAAACAGGTCCGGCTTGCTGGTTAGGTCAATTTTAACCCCACACTTTTGTAGAGTTGATTAAAGTTTTAAGTTCGCATCCTCTAATATGAATGTCCCACCCTGTCTCTATTTTTGTGTACTTTTGCGAGTATAGACATTAACAAGAATTTTACAATTTTTAGCTTTTAAAAGTGTAAGACTCACATGTCGTTCTGCCTCACTCTCACATTTTTTGGGCGAATCAAGGTTTTAAGTCAGCGTGCTCAACTATTCTGCCTTGTTTTTTTGGGGTTTTACATGAAAGACTTAGACAAGACGAACATGTCTGTTTGTCATCCCTTCCTCTGGTAAATCAATCTTCAACCACAAATAAAAATGTTTATATTTAATATTTGGTGGTGTTTTGAGCTGTGATAATCTCTTGTTTTAGAAGCTCGACAAAAAAAAGTCAAGAAAAATAAGTTTGACAAATGAAGTGACTATATCACCATGAGCATAAGTTAAAGTTTCCAAATGAGTACATTGAAGAACAAAAACAAGAGAAAATTAGAAGCTCTAGCTATACATTTTACCTATTCTGTGCTAGCACAAGTTCTCTCAATCACCTTTGAATCTGTTCTATGAGAGTTTCTAGATGGAGAACTTGTTTCTCTAGAAGAACTATGTCCAAAGAGACTAAGCCTACTAATTTTCTTCGAAAAAGAACTCATAAATTTCCGCGATCCGGATTTTGCCATATCCCTCTTCATGCAAACATGCTCCCTCTCTAGATCATTTAGTCTCATTCTTAGTCGAGCCAATTCGAGTTTCAACTCCCGATTCTCGCGCCTCAATGACGCGTAGTTATCGCGTGGAGACATTGCCGCACTCAGTGCACCACTACTTATGCGCCACGATGCGTGCATTGGCTTGATGTCATCGTCCCCGCTCGTCGTGGACAACGAGTTTCTTAGCTTTAGTTGTTCGAAATATAGAACTTGCACTATTGATTGTAGAGGAAGCCGCTCGTTTTGCGCGGCATGCGCTCCAGCTTCTTGAGTAAGCTTTTGAAAATCGATTAATTTGCATAGTTTCTTCTTGTCCAAGTCTGATAAACCTTGATGAGCCTGAAAATGCATTCACAGAAAGAATCAGCTTAAAATCGCGAAATTTTCTTAGACATTTATCGTTAAATTTTTTAATTTGAAATAGCATAATCTCGTATATAAAACTTACTTTTAAGTAAATATCGATAGCTCGATATAAGCCGTCATGCACGGTACGCGCATGTGCAGGCAATGTTTCTGCAATAACCAAAAACTTGGAAAGCTTCAAGTTTGCATCAGGTGCAATTTCAGCGAGGTAGTTGTCGACTAACTTCGACACCTTAACTAACGAAGTTTGCGAGGGCGAACGAGGACTATCGGATTCGAAAAGAGAACCATCTTCTAGATCATCATCACTATCATCCTGCTGACTGAAGTTTACTAGAAGTCTATGAACTGTGTCAACATCGAATAAGGTATCACCCGAATGCTTGAAAGACGGAATCAAAATATCGTCGAGCGTTGATTGATCCAACTGCGATCCAATCCTTCTTTCCAAGTCAAGTCTAGAGGAAATCGCGCAATCAAGCATCACCGCGCTTCGCAGAAGCCCGAAAAGGAAATGAATCGGAACGACGAGTTTCTCAACTGGCAAAAGGCCTACGATAGTCTCCACGACGAGCTTTTCATGCAAAGTTGAATTTGAATCAGTTTTATTCTGGCTAGACTGATTCCACAGAGCCGGTTTCTTCGTCAATTCTTTCTCTGCATAATTCACAAGGGAAGCACCGATACTCTCAGGCCGAACTCCGCGACACTTCATGGCTGTTATAACTCGTTGATACATATCGATCCTTAAAACCGAAATATCCTCTATCCACCAATCACCATCACATTTGGCTTGCCTGCTCATGTGCAGCCTACCCGAGCTGCTATACTCTAATCTCGAGAAACTAGAAGCTATTTGCTCGGCGCAAGTTTTTGAAGCGATCGCGTCAATGCAACGCGAAACTATTTTCAGCTCGTCCGCGAGAGGAACTAAACTTTCGCATTGTTGCAAGACTTCAACACACATTTCAAGATTCTTGCAGACAATGCAGTCGAGATATTCCTCGGCTCTCGAACTGAGATTGTCTTTTGAGAAATCATCTGTCATTTCGAGGTAATCGGAAACACAACAGAGTTGTGCAACATTTGTGGATGTGATCTCGAAGTTAATGCCGTAACAGAATTTGGCAGCCAGTTCAAAGCATTCAGCTCCTCCTGGTAGATTAAGAAGCTCAACTCTTGAGATATCAGAATCTCGGTGTTCTGCAACTAATCTTCGAATTCTACCGCTTCGAGAAACGAGAGGAAACTACATAGTACATACCAAAATCAGTGTCATTCTAATTCTGTCAAAATCACAGTGATTCTGAATATGCACTCAAATTATCAGAGGTAAGTACTTACCTTGTGTAATGAAAATGTTACTCCACAAACTTCTATAGTTATATCACTCGGAACATCGCGAAAAATCCTGAAAAAAGTTAATGAAAAAATTAGAAGGTAGAAGAATTCATCGATAACATAAAAGATTCACAATTGAGATAGATACATTATATCAGAGTCGTCTTTGAAGGCGTGCAAGACAGACTACTTCACAAGGTCTAAAATTTGTCATGATTGAACCTTTTCTAAAATTTGTCTCAGTTAAACTATAGTTAAATAGTTAACCTGCGACTAATCTACTAGACGACTCTGCATTATAGCATCATCTCGTAACAATATTAGTTTAAAACAGATCTTTGATCATTCTATTCAAGAACTAAAGGAAAAACAGTAACAACTAAATTCAGCAGAAGCAAAACCAATTAACATAAATATAAAAAATGCTCAAAATTCATAAAGAAAAGATTCAACAAACATACTACTTGTTCCGGTTAAAATTGACCAACATAGAAAAGTTGGTCAATTTTATCCGGAATAGTACTCAAAATACACATGATAACAAAAACAAAACTGAAAGAGCTAAAAACAAGAAACTAAGAAAAGTCTGAAACAAACCATTCATTGTATCTTTGTCTGCCATTCTTCCCCAAAGACAACTGCTGCTGATGTTGTTTGTCAGAAGAAGTACGGTCCATACTAGAGACTAAGAAGAAAAACACAAAGATATAATATGAAACAGAAAGAACAAGAGAATGTAAAGGTTAAGGTAAAGCAATAGTAGTGAGTTTAAGGTAGTTGTAGTAGTGAAGTAGAGAAAGAGAGAAGAGAAACAAAGATTGAGGAGATGTTGCTGTTGTTGAGGTAGCTCTTTCAGCATTTTCATTCAACAGTTATTGCTCAATGCATAGATTGCAATTGTCCAAAGTTAATGGACCTCTCTTGTGGGACATACCTTGTTTTCTCTCATACTTAATTTATACGTTATATATTTGGTGAATTATATATCTATATCATATACTTTATGTAAAAAAAGAAAAAAGTTGAAAATTTTATATAATCATTTTGTCCTTGAATAATCAAAGAACAATATCTTATAATAACAACAAAAACTATATAAAAATGTATGATGTGTTGTATGTGTGTGAGTTGTGAAATAATGGTTTGAATTTGGAAGTGACTAATATGTTACTGTATGAATTAATTGGTTTTTTGGTTTCATTGTCTTTTATGATATTGTATTAATTATGGGTGAAAAAATTTATTTAATTCATTAAAGAAAACGTAATTTGATTAATTGAATAGTAAAATTGCTCATTGATTTGAAGTTTAATTTAAAAAGGGTTCTGCTATCTAGCGCCCTGAGGACATTTTTTAAAGAGAATTAATATAGCTATCGTCTCATCCATTTAACTTTGAAATAAACAATTGTTAAGTTTAATAATTAAAATATTAAAGATTTATACGACTGTCATATTTA